GGCGGTGGATCGGGGCCCAGGCCTGAGGCCGGACTGAGCCCAGGCAGGCTGTGCTACATCAGCGTGTACCGTCTGCGGCTGCCCAGGTGGCACAAGCTCTGTGAGGTTCATGCGGGCTGCATGGACCAAGTGGAGATGCCGCCGCCGGGGGCTGCCGAGCAGCCGGGAGGGACCGGGTTGGAGGTGGAGGGCGCCGCGGCGTCGACGGCGTCCTCCTCGGCGCGAGTCGAGACGGCGGCGCCGGCACTCCCGCCACCAGCACGGCCGGCGGTGGTGGTTCCGCGCGCGCCGTGCCCGGTGCAGATCCACTTCAGCACGAGATGCAGTAGCGCCGCCGCGGCGGCGTCAGGGTCCGCTGCAACTGACGGCAGCACGGCGACAGGGCGATGCCAGTGGGTGTGCCCCGATCTGCGGCGGGGGAGTTTGAGCTTGGTCGCGTCTGTGGAAGACCCGGGGGTTGTGAAGCTGCTGTGGAGTGAGCGACAGCGGCCCAGCGCTCAGCAGCAGCAGTACGGCAGCATCTTTGCGGCGCCGGAGGACCCGAGTGAAGGCGGGGTGGAGCCGGCGGCGGCGGAGCTGGAGCTCACGCTGTCGCCAACACGCTCACAGTTCCGGTATGTACGGTTATGGGTTCCAGTGTGTACGGACTACGGGGTCGTACGGCAGATAACTGCGGTACTGCAGCTGATCCTGAGGGGTTTACCTTTCTGCGGGCGCCCTGGGGGGAGATATAGGGCCTTCCGGGCAGTATGGTCGGCGAGGAGATCCGTCAGGACGGCTGGTTCACAAGTTGTGGGGCGCTGGTCGTCTTTCCTCTCAGTGGCGCACCGCTGTGGGTGCGCCCCGGGATATGTTACCGGGTAACCTTTGCCCTTGCAGCCCTCCCTCTTCCTGCACTCTTGCCCTGGCAGCAGCTTCACTCGTTCGCGGTTCGTCTTTCCCTCCGTCTTCCCCTAGGAGGAGCACGCTGCGCTCCTCCTGTCCCTTCCCCCTGTCTGTCCAATAACCCTTTCTTCACCGTTTTTGCAAACGCCCGTCCCGTCCCCTCCCCTCCCCTCCCGCCATGTGTTCTCTCCTGAGCTCCTCCAGGCGACCTCTTACCCCCGAACCCACTCCCACCCGCCCGCCCGCCCACAGAGTCGTCCCCCACGTCAAGGGCGGTGCTGTCCTCGAAGTCCTCTATCCGCGAAGCGCCGTCCATCGACCAAGACCTCCCCCCGCCAGCAGCAGTAGCACCGCCATCAGGGCCGGCGCCAGCTCCAGCGCGCCACACGACACGGCTCAGGGGCACCATAGCGGTGCCTCCCCACCTGTCCCCGCACATCCCGCCCACCATCAAGCCCAGCACCTGGCGGCGCCGTTAAAGCATCACGACCGCTATTTCTTTTGGCTACAGCAGGACTGGGTCCCCGAGGGCGCAACGTCAATGGCGGCGGCTGACTCGGCAGTGGCGGCGGAGGGCCAGATTTCAGCGGCGGGGGATGCGCAGGGTTACGGCGACGGCGCGGCGGCGGAGGAGCCAAATGGCGGAGCTGCGGCGGAGGAGAGGGTCAGGTCCGTGCCTGATCGGGGCGTCCGAGCTCTGGCGGACCATCTGCAGGCCCTCCTAGAGTGCCCGCCGGAGTTTGACCCGCACAAGCACATCTGCAGAGTGAGGTGAGTGGGGCCGGGGGGCTCTGCCGCGGCTGCTGCTGCTCCTGCTGCTGCTGCTGCCCGGTTCGCACTGTTGTGCCGTTGTGGATCTTGCCGCCCGGCCGTTTGGCGGGAAATAGCGCATCTGGGCGCATATAGGGCCCCCTATCGGTTCACTGCCCCCAGACCGATATACCAGCCTGTTAACACGCACGTCGTAAAACTTGGCGGTGAAGCGGATTGTGTCTAACCGTGTCGCGGCCTGCTGTGCAACTATCGCAGGTTACCCAACGTCCGATTTTGCCTCCCTCCCTCCCTGATTGTGCTCCCGTTTTCTCGGCCCTTGAATCTGGTGGTTTCGGTGCGCTGCAGGTGCAGCAGCACCCCCCTGCAGCTGGGTCCGCTGCCCTTCGCTCTGGTGGAGGAGATTATGAGGGCCAGTGGTCGCCAACTTCACCCGGACGGTACACTAGCAGTCGCCACAACCAGCTCGGCGATACCGGGCGCCGCCACCGCCGCAGCACCGCCACCAGCAGTGTCGGCGTCCGGCCAGGCCACGGGCCCCAGCGCTGCCGCAGCTGCGGCGGCTTCACAGCCTACGTATCAGCAGCAGCCACGGCAGCAACAGCAGGTGATGACGCATTCCAGCGGCGGCGGAGCTTTGGTTCGCGGCGGCAGCGAGCAGCGCCGGGCCCCGGCGGCAGCTGCGACGTCGCAGCGGGACCGGGACCGGAGGGGTTCGGGTTCGGGAAACGGTCTGGACGGCCTGTGCAGTCTCGCGCTGTCAAGGTGAGCGGGGAAGGAAGGGGAGACGACCAGCAGACGCACGCAGAGGTTTTGGAAGCTATGACGTTCAGGGCTGGGTTGGAGACAGGGAGCAGCAAAACATCTATGTATGTATGTCGTTACAGGGTGGTTAAGCTTCACCAGCGGCCCCCTTTCCCGAGGCAGTTCCCTGCTCTCCCCTGCGAGAGGGGCACCCTAATCCGTTCACCCCATCCGACTTCAGGATGTATTCGTTGGGTTCAGCTGCTGAACTCACCACCAGCATCCAACCAAATCTAGCGGATCAACGGCGCCTCAACTTAGTTCCTGGTCAGCTCGCAAGTTGATATTATCACGTCCTACACCGTCCAAAAGATGGGGGGCCACCTCCCATTTCAACACTTCTCAAACACCCGAGAAGTCGGCAGGCGGAATTGAACCCGGACACTCCGGGAGCAGAAGTCAGGCTTTAACCTCTGCCAGCCGCCTGCAAAATGTTTGTGTAGTCGATTACGATGGGACATGCATATATGTGCATGACTCGAAGTGTGGTTTGGAAGTAGCTTGTGAAAGTACTCGTGTGTGTATCTTAAAATTAATTTTGCGTGTGTATCTTGTGTCTGTCTGTGTGTGTGTCTGTGTGTGTGGGTGCATCTGAGTGCCTAGTAGGTCGCGGACCAGCTTCACGGAGGGCCCCGCCGGGGCCGGAAATGAAACCGCGTCGGCGCACAAGTGCCTCATCGGCAAGCGCACCCAACCCTCCTCGACTGGTACCTCTGGCGCCAACCCTACCGGCCCCGTGGCGGGGAGCGGCTCATCGGGAGGACTTGACACCTGGGAGCTCACCAAGGACGACCCAGAACTGCATCGTACAGGCAAGCTCGCCCGCCGCCGGGCTTACGTCCCTCGGGCGGCTTCCCACGTGCCGGCCGGCTTCGGCGGCGCTGGGGCTTCTGTTGCTGTGGGTTCAGCGGCTATAGATCAGGGGCTGCTGCCTGGTTTAGTGACGCGGCTGGAGGCTGCTCGGGCGCTTTCCTCTCACCCCCTGGATGACAGCGACTGGGGCTCCGACTGCGACAGGCCAGCAGCAGGTCGGTGCTTGCTTTGCATTGGGTGGTGCCCAGTGGCCGGTTGGGGGCCCAGATCCCGAGTAGGAGTCAGGGGCTCCAGTTAGCAGGAGGGTGGGGAAGCACCGCGATCTGCCGGGAGGGTAAAGGGGCTCGTGCAGGTGCTTCCGCGTATGTGTGTGTGCAGTTTAGATTAACATCGGACCGGCCCTTCCATTCCATCTCATCAGGTGCGTCGTCGTCAGCAGCAGCAGCAGCAGCAGCAGCAGCAGCCACCTACGCTAAGAACGGCTTATCATCATCGGGGCGAGAGGAGGACGCGGCGACCGGCGCCGCGGTGGAGGATAGAAATTTGGACGGCAGCTCCGAGACGGCTGTGTCGAGTGTGGCGGAGCATCCTCCAGCAGGGGCTGCAGCTGCGTGTTTGCCGAGTAGCGGTTGCCCCCGTGGCAGCCTGGCGGCGGCTGCGGCGGTGGCGGCGGCTGCCGCTGCCGTCGGGTCCTCGGGGGCGTCGCTGGTGGGGCCGGTGGAACCCGAGGCTGAGGATTCGTCCCTAATGTTCGAGCTCGACTGAGCCAGTGGTAACGGCAAGGGGCCCTACAACCTGGGGCAGCGAGCTGGCAACCGGCGCGCAAAGTCACATGTCCCGTGCTGGGAGGGAGGGCATGGCGTGGGATCTCGGGTGTGCCGCGCCTCTGTTGTTGTTGTTGTTGTTGTTACCGGCAGGTCGCTGAGCTGTCGTCAAAAGGCGCGCGCTGCGGTAACGGCGCCTGTTTGCAAGGGGTCCCTTTCGGGCTGTTGACGTTTTGCCTTCTGAGAGTTGCTAATTTGGTGTTTGAGCCCTCAGACTTGGTCGGACCTGCTTGAGTTTAGCAGACGGCGCTGCCAGCAGCATTAGTGCCGCGGCCCCAAGCAGGGTATGGCTCCCCATTGTTTCCCAACTTGTCATTTGCCGCGAGGCCGCATTGTGACTTTAGGTGCAAGTTCGCCGAGGGTAGTGGTATTGGAGTGCTGGTTCACTGGCAGTTAATGTGTAATGGCAGGTGTCAGCTTCTTTCATTTTCCTCCGCGGCAGCAGAGCTCCGGGAGCCGTCATATCGTGTATGCATTCCATGCATACTTTATCGCAGCGTTTCTGTTCGGTTTGAGATATGATGAGCTGAGGGAACAACGGCTATCGGCCATCATGTTTGCTTGTATTCCCCTCCGCACGACCTGCGAAAACCTGGGGAATCTTGTACCGATCCTAGGCCTCCAGGATGTCGAGTAGTGTTAAGGTGGACGTATTTTCCTGCTTGGTTATGAACTGGGCAGGTGGGATTCAGGGAACAACTTCTAGGCTTTTTGATGCGGGATCGGTTTGTGGAGGACCGCGAATGTGTATAGCTGCAGGGAACTCAGTTCTGTTCGGGATCCCCACCTGATGGGTACGTCACTACCCAAACGACTAACGTCGACGCACCAGTTGGCGAGCAGGAGCGCAGTGTTGCCCTGCCAGCGTCCTTCCCGGACTCCTCATTTTCCTGTGTACCGTGCTGCGAGCACTTATGTCCGAGGTTGCCTTTGTGTTTAGCGGTTCGTCTTTCAGACTTAGGGGGTCCTCACAATGCTGTATATCCCAACTTGGGGGGATAAATGTATATTCCGGTATAGTCCTCTGTTAATGCCAAGGCGGTATCCAGCTTTGTGTACAGGGTTTCTATGCAAAAGCCAGGTTCATTGTATTAACCGCACACGTGTGGCGATGGCATACTCTTGTCCTATTTTTGCATGACCGTAGGGTGGATTCAGCGCAAATGAAGACTGCCGCTATTGTGTAGAACATGCAGGGAAAATTTCGTGTCGTCCATGTGTTCTAATCGTTATGGTTTTATGGTGGAAGTTATGGCGGGATTGGATTCGTGGCCTTAGGTAGCAGCACGTTGCAAGACTTCATCTGTATACCACCATAATACGTTCGGTTGTTGAATGCCAGGATGTAAAACCTGCCGTAAAGATATCAGTGAGCGTAGCACGAAACCTGATTATGCACTAGGCACGACGCTAATTACAGATTGTTCCTAGGCACCTAGGCATACATACCATCCAAAGTCGCGCAAACCAAAATAGATGGTCTACAACATATCCGAATATTTACCAGCACGCCTAACATGTCCGCCGGGAAACTTTTCAGTGCATGCACAACAAGTAGCCTGAAGCACCGACCAGAACGTCAACACCTTCACCCTGTCCTCTGAACGGACGAAACGCATCTCCATGCAGCGAGGACTAGCACCAGTCTACATCCGCAACGGAAAACGCATGCACCATGCTTTCGCTCCCAACCAAACAACAATAACAACAACACGTAGTTGATTGATTAAATGGCGGCACTCCTGAAGAATAGCGTGCCCTCAACGACATTACTGAACAACAGGCAGCGAAGAAGCCCTTGAAATATTCCTCCACGCCACACCAATACCACTCAGAAGGCTTCTTCCTCTCTACCCAACCTCTTTTGCATGCAAACTGCTGGCGCATTAGCAAACCCTAGATGCAAAAAGGCGGTTCTGAGGCATAGGCGTACGGATATGCAACCCTCACACAAACCGACGCCGCCCCCGTGTTCTTCGTGGCGACAATATATGAAACTTGCAATGCTCCTTTTGGCTGCGACCGCTGCTGTTGGAGGAGAAAGAGCTTTTCACCCGCAGGTGCAGATACGACGTATCCAAAGCGTTGTTGAGTCGAAGTCCCTAAGAGCGTCACACGCGCGCGAGCAGGAGTGATACCACCTGCCTCACGAGTGATTCTAACCTAGGGATAAATGTACACCGGACGTCCAGTAACAGCACACCCGGATTAACCCCTCTCACATGAGCGTGCCCCTTCACCCACCAAAGAAACAAGTCATAACGCATCCGCAGCTGCTGGCAGAGTTGACCGCCTATTTTACATCTCAATACTATAACATCAAACAGCCAAGCTCCATAATTTGTAATATCATTTCTTCACGCGTACCATAAGGGGCACAGCGGTACCCCCACCGCCGCACCCTCTGCACCTCATGTAGCCCGTCTTGCTACATGAGTTGCAACCAACGTCACCATCAGACCACCTTGTACAAAGACACGCCTCAAAGCCTGTGCCTCCACAGACTGGACAGGGCTGAGATTTCCGACTGTCAAGCCGATCCTGCAAAGAACACAAAAACCACATATATAATAAGTCTATGAAGGCCCTAGACAAATTACAGCTTTTGTGATGCACTATAAGTGGACGCGGCTGCAAAGCGCAAAGGCCGCAGGTGAAAACGTGAGGCCTCAATGGAAAGACCTCAGCGCAGGGCGAACCCGAGTTCTCAGTAGCCGTGCAACCGAACTTTGCGAACTCGGCAAGGGACACATAGAATGGACGTTACCGGAGACTGCCGGTACATAGAGGTCCCATTCACTTTGCCTATGTTGCACTCCACACACGCGCAGAGTCCTAAACATAGATATGCACCTGTTCAGAATCCGTTATGCGCACAACCTGCGAACCGGTTGCAAGGTGTCCCCCCAAAGCCGCCTCACCTGCTCCGGAAGCTGCTCCGGACGGTTCAAGAGCATAAGTGCGCCAACGCAGATAGCACTTGTAGTGATAAGCTGGCTAACAGCGGAGATAGTGTCAAAAGTAGGATCGGCGCCAAGCATCGCCACACAACGGAGGCCACGCCGGCTGGACACGCGCCGCGCAGACGTGGCTGCCAAGCTACGCCCGGAAGGCCCAGCCGAAATAGCTCGGGCGGCCTGCATAGCGCTGGCCCTGTTCGGAATGTGCTATTGCTTGACGATTACGCAACTCCCGCCGAGAAAGGATCACGTTTCCTTAAGTGACTCCAGATATTAGTCTGTACTGTGTAGTGTTAAGTGCAAACAACAGTTGAGGACCCATGGAAGTAAATGGCTAGGGAGCGTTCACCGTACAGGACACATTGCGTCAGGCCACGCGCCGCGCGTGCATGCCGAAGGCTATGACATGCAATAATGGCGCCATGAGAATCACAGAGTGAAGCGAGAACATTCAGAAGCCCAGGTTTGTTGTAAAGCCATCGGGTCGCATCGATGCTGAGCCTGTGTGCTCGCCATACCAGGTTTGTGGTCGCGATCTTTGCTCCATGTGAATGCGCTTGACCACCAGCAAGAAAGTTCTGCATCAAGTCATTGCATCCCTCGTGACATGTCGAGGTCGCTTGGACCGGATATAGTTGCCTAGGACCTGAAGGTCGGGTTTGCATGGCAAGGGACCCGGAAATGCAAGAATATGACGTTACGCACCGGCTGGCCTACCGTGCGTGCTCAGGAAGTAATATAGCTCGCTAGGAAAGCCGCGGGTTAGCGACGTATGTAATTGACGCTGGAAAGCCTAGGCCACGGCACAGCCATTGCATGTTGGCATTGTACTCCAATGGTATGAGATCCTCAGCTCCTATCACAAAGAGGATTAGGCATGCCCCGCCGGCATAGCTTTCCCTGGTTCCTAATACACACGACGTACACGCCGTCGAACTCGCGCAGTGTTGCGCTGCCTGCTGCTGTCGCTCTTCATCCCCTGCATGCCAAGCGAAGCCGGCTCCGTAGCTGCCTCCGCCACAGACGGTGCCGCATCCCGTCCTCCCCTATATGTACACCCGACACCCACCAACCACGTCGTGCCACGGTTATTCGTTGTCGTGCCAACCCTCCTCACGTTGACGCTGGTCGGTTGCGGTGACACACTGGCGGCAGTGACGCAGGCGCCTGTGATATTGAGATGACCACGACTGGAGTAAGGAGTCGTGTGGGTGGAGGAGGGGGGACGCATAGGGGTGCACCAGCGCATAGATGGCATAGCCGCTATGGCTTCGCTCCCCGCAGGCACACCACCATTACCACCACTTCGGTATTCGCATTCCATCACCCTTGCCGTCCGTGAGCTGAGCAAATCTGCGATGCAGCCTCCGTCGAAATCATCATCGTCGTCATTACCACCATCTATAGCCACCACGCTGCTGCCGCCGCACTGCTTCTCCTCCGAGCGTGACTTGACGCAAAGCATTAGAAGACACTTCGCTTTTTGCCAATGACCAAATTTCTTGTGTCATGATCCCGCCTTTTGTTTGGACCTGCAATCCATCCTGGTGCTGCACCTCTCGCGCCCGGGCCCACCCCCCGCACCTCAGTAGGGAAAACCTGTCCAGGTATGATCTTCTTCAGTTGCAGGAGTTGCCCTCATCCCTTGAAACACCGTGAAGCTTAAAAGGAAATAGCCGGATCCGGGAGAAACCCACAAAAGAGCGGCCATCGTGATGAACTGCCACCGCATGGCGCAGTGAATGCCGCCGCCGTGAATTCTTATACATTCATCGGTTACAGGTCTTCAAAGATCCACGATACAGCCTGAAGGGCCATATCCCAAGGTGCCAGTTGCCTCACTCCGAAAACAACCTACGTCTACAAACGCAAAACACGCGTCCATCCCTTCATAAACATGGAAAGGTTCACTTTCACGCACCACAATTTCCCACGTTCTCAGGCATGCGCCTGAGAACAATCGGTATGCAGCGGATAAGATAGCATTCTTCATTTATCCTTTTAGACACCCTCCGGTTGCATTCCTCTCATCATCACCGCCATCATTTACAACACCATTCATCTCCATCCTCGTCGCCGCTACGGCACCGCATCGGCTCCCTACATGCCCCAGGGTGTTGAGGTCGGCGAGTATCATGATGCTCAAGGGAGGAGACCGGCAGAGTAAAAGGCATGCCACTGTCCTGTGCCCCCCAGCAGCCGGCACAACCCTCCTGACGTTTTGAGCTTCACGCTCTGCATTGTACGCTCCGCTCCACTATGTTAGCTAGCTAACGTACTGCTGCATCCGACGCTTCCACTATCGACATTTCGGAAGTTTCGCTCCACCTCCGTTTTCCCGTTAAATTACGTAGGTTTCGCATTATTGCCCATCACTCGCTTCGCTTCTCCAACCCGCACAGAGAGTCCTGCCTTAAAGACATGCCATGAAAGCATGTATACGGCTGCAGCGCCAGAGGCATCTTGCAGCGTGATTGTTGCCCGCTGCATCCAATCCTCTCTTCACGTCCTCCCTCCTCCTCCTCCTCCTCCTCCTCCCCTCCACCCTTTCCCTCCCTGTCGCTCTCACACATCACTTCCCGAACTCCACACACACCGGTCCCACACCACCACCACCACCACCACCACCACCACCACCGCCACCACCACCGCCACCACCCGGCCCACCGGCCGCACACTTAATAACTTATTTTCCCTCAACACCACCAGCACCAGCACCAGCACCAGCAAAACACAATCAGTCCATACAGGTATGCGCAATCAAGGAGATGAAGTATATTCATATTCTGTTCTTAGGGTTTTTACAAAACTGCATCTGCATCCACACACGTTCAGCACCATACATTTGCTTCCCTCTCACGCCATGAATGAAGCGGACAGTATAATAAATTTCTTCCCTTCTTCAGAAAAGGCCATGCTCACTCCCAGCTGCAGCTGCAGCTATCGTTCTCGCCATTATCAGCGAGGGGCGGCTTATGCTGCTACCAGCGCCTCCGCTTCCGCCTTGCTAGCCGCCGCTTCCTCCGTCTTCTTCTTCTGCTGCTGCTGCTGGCGCTTAAGCCTCCACTTGTTGGGCTGATAGATGCGGAAGAAGGCGCCCGAGGAGTTGCGGGGGATGGACTCCCGCAGCTCACCTGCGTGGACGGGCAGGCGGGTCGACATGCAGGCGACGCAACGGGAGAGAGGCCATGGAGAAGGGGCAGGACGGGAGCAGGGAAGGGGACTCAGGTCAGGGAGTGGAGCAGCGAGGCGTGCATACGGCATGCCGTAAGTTGATGCGTACCGTACACTCGCATGCACATCATCGGCTGCATCGGCCGGGAGCCAGGGACTAAAACCAAGCTCAAACAACCCGGTGGAAGGGACGCAGGAAGGGTTGGGTTGGAGGAGACCGCACCGTTCGGCTCCAGCACTTGAATCTCCTCCACGTCCCCCCCGTCCTCCCTTTCCGCGGGCCGACCTCCTGGACCCAGCATCGCCACCGAGCAGTCCTCGGGCACCCGGGTCACCAAACCCATTGGGGCGGCACTGGACATGTCTACATGCGTGTACACACACAGGGGGGAAAGACGAACCACACACGATTGAAGCTGCTGCCAGGACAAGAGTGTATCAAACGTAGACACACAAGGGGGAGCGTGAGGATGCGTGAGGGATGAGGGATGAGGCAAAGGCAGGGAGGAGCCTAAGAGGAGAATGCAAAGAGATATATGCATGCATGCATGCATGCAAGCAGCATGACCGTGAGGACGGGGACGGGCGAGGTTCGGAACAGGCGCGGACGCACGTGTGGTTGTGTAGCCGGAGTGGGTGGCGCATGCCGAGGCAGAGGCAGGTCGCGGTAGGCTGGTGCAACCAAGCTGGTTTGTCGTACGTGGAAAGGCAAGGAGGATCACCCGGGGCCCCATAAGGCACTTACCGTACTCGATGAGCAGACCTCCTGCTTGCAGGGCCAGAATGGTTTCAGAGCCCACCGGGTACCTGA